TTTAGCGCGGACCCGACGTCCATATAATTGTAAGTCAATGGTCTTATCACTTTATTTTTCGAGTACAATAGAACAAAAGAGTGAGCCGCCATCTTTAAAGGGCAAACAACTAGTTTAAATACTTTTACGCATTGGCACTTGCTTCTAAACTTGATAATCTTTAGGCGCAAATAACTTCTTGAATTAGTAAGAAAAGAATCAGTATTCGGTTTTTTATGGAGTACCTACCTACACACAGTTTAAAAAATAAATCACTTTCAGAAAAATCATTAGTGCGCCCATGACTCGTACGATGCCAAGATCATTAAATAAGTGTACACTTTAAGTAAAAGAAGTGTTAATGGTTTTATTAATGTATTGTAATAGTAAGAAATCACCCGGTCAAAGCGATAACATTCATCGACGCAAAAAATTTTTCCTCAACTGTACCTATAAATATTGACATACTTACAGTTACGTGGCACCATCGGCAGTGTAAACCAGTGATCCCGTTATATCCTTTGATCTTTTTCCGACACCGCGCGCATTTGCCGTGGCAGTTACCTACGCATAAACAATAATTTTTTCAAACGACTTGTTTTACACTGGCCCAAGCCTAGTGGCCGCCATTAAGGCTTCTAACAGATTGACTGCACGTTTTCAGTTAACGACCTCACGTCACTTCTTCTCATTGTATGGTCTGTAATTAGGAGAAAAAAGGCCCGAGAGTTTTATTTGGGGCATTATAGACAAGTTAGCCTGTGTGCAATCATACTATTTACGTGCAAGTGTGATGAAAAGAATGTATTCTTTTATTCAATTTCTTATGTTTGTTTTCAAGTGCCAAATATATTATATAAAGTCGGATATTTTGCATAACCTTGAAGAGAGATAGATAAACTAAAATAAGACATAGATTAATGTATCATAGATTTTATACCTTCGACCCAATGATGTGTTAGAGTTGCAGCCGCCCGACGCGACTTGGAGTACGTAGCTATGCACGACGCGGGCGCCCTCTGCACGCAGCGCTCGTGCACCGTGAATTTGCAGACTGCAATAGAAGACCATTAAGCATAGAATGGATAAACAGTTTTACATAAATCTAAGACGTAAGTTCTCCAAAGAGCGCTACTGATGCCGTTCTTGAGCTTGGAACTATAGTCTAGCCAAATTCGATGTAGAATAAATGTCTATTATATGAATTTAAGAGTTTTCATCTCTGACTCTTTCACAGTTACCACAATTCCAATATTTTCCCCCAAAATTCAACTAGATTATGGATAATACTAAATCTTGAATTCTCGTGTATAAAATATTATTCAACAGAAGTTTAAAATCACCTAATAATGACGTAAAAATGACCAGTAATTAATTATTTGTAAAACTGTATTATGCCTACTAATTTTTTGATTTGAAGGGAGGGATTGCAAACATTCGAGATCTGGTGGTAATTCAAGTTCAATAAGAATCAGAAATTGTACAATATCTAGTAAAAATGGAAATATATGCTGGATGGTATAATAAGTGGTAAATTAATATCATATAAAATCTTACAATTTTGTTTCTATTCATTTATTTTTTATTTTTTCATTACCTACCATCTAGCAGTAAATAATATTGGGATGCATACACTTACTTTATTTCCTAAATCATACTTATCAATAGGTATTGTGTAAAGTTTATAATAATTAGCTAGGTAAGTATTACTTCTACATAATCTGTTTACTTATTTAAATTCCAATTACGAGAGTAGGTCAAGGGCAAAGCAAACCTTAATAATGAGCATTGAAAAAAATGTTCTTTTCCTATGCCATCTTGGTTGCCTAGCAACATTTTGTTATTAAACATTCGACACCGAATGTGGCTAGAGCATTGACTTACAATTATATGGACGTCGGGTCCGCGCTAAAAAGTGTCCGAACTTATAGGGCGTTAAAATCGTATACAGAGCGTCATTCACGCTTTAGTCTTCGTTTGTTCGACGACAGCGAAGCAAGCGAAATTAGACAGTACTGCGATGACATTACAATTTAAATTCAACGTTTTAGCTTTTTCATATTCCTTTACATGTCACTACGCTTAAATAGGTTGACTTGGGACATTTTTTTCGTGGTTTTTGTATTAGACCCGTCGTCCATTTATTTGTAAGTCAATGGGCTAGAGTATCGCTTACTGTATGCAAGCGAGAGTGAAGCAGTAAGAACTTAATACTGAAGGTGTAAACTCAAACCCAAACTATCTTATCTTTATCACTTGAAATCGTCATATTGATTAAAGTCTAGAATACTCTACATACTACTCATTCGTAACGCAGATTCCGCTGAGAATAATGAATAAGAAACTCTAGGGGTTGCTCTTTGTAAATGTACATTTATCATTTACAATATTTATTTCAAACATGTAGATCGAGAGGTTTTTTGTCATCCAACTTAACTGCCTCCGTGGCCGAACGGTTACCGTGCCGTACTGCCATGCAGAGGTCATGTTCACGCATGAAGATTCATTTTTATAAACAGCGTCTAAATTTTATTACAAGGAGCAATTATTTTAATGGTTGATTTTGCTATTCTCCAATTCAAGGCGTTTTTCTCTCTCAATATGCTTTGAGTAGTGAGAACCGATTGTTATTATCTCCTGTGTCAAGTCTCGTATAGTGGCGAACTAGGAGATGAATCCGGGTTTGCGCACTTTCCGGTAACCGATTTCAATGAAACTTGATAATTATATGTACTTCCACGTACTTTTGAAGTCGGTTTTTTAATACTCTGTACTGAGATTATGTTCCTCGTATTAATGCTATGTTTGTCACTATTTTTCGTAAAAAATTACTATACTTCTAAATATTAATTACAATTTCATAAATGTACTGTGTTACATTAGTGTAAGAATGTAAATTTATCTCTCAAAGACACTCTGGGGCCCAGTTTATAAATTGCTGTAACCGCACGTTTCTGCAGGACAATGATTCTATTAATATCGGCGGCATTATTCCAAAGCAAAATGCCGTATGTCATTAAGTGTCAGTGTGGTGCGGTGCACGCTCGGATTCGGACGTGCTCCACTACACAATAAGAATTATAATAATTCGCGACCCGCGCGGCAATAGCCGCTGCACGTAATTGACTATGGGTTCTCAGCAACTCATAGCCAACGAACTGTTGGCGTTTATACAACACGCCATAGATACCATGGACGAAGTCAGCATCGTGCAGATCTGCAAGTCAAATTTCAAAGAAGAAGAGATTTGCAGTGGCAAGGCGCTGCTTTTCCGGACGTTTGGCAAAGCCGAGCAGATGCCGTCTCGTCGGAGAGATGGAGGAGTGAAGAGTCTCCAGGACATCATAACGTTGTTCAAGGAGACCGACCCAGACGACGTGCCTGCATTCGTGGCGAAGGAGCTGCATAAGCTGCCCCCTGTCACGTTCGACCACGTCGACGTCACCAGGCTGCTGAAGGACATCACGTCCCTAAAAGCAAGCCTTGCTGAAGTTCAGTGTAAGTTGGAGGTCTCAGACAACACCATCAGTGAGTTGCGTGCCCAAGTTGCATTACTTAGTAGTGCGGCTTCGGTAAGTAGGTCACCTGAGGCCTGCAACGTGAACACTTGTCGCGGGGCGCAAAATGCTTCTTTCAGCAGTTTTAAGTCGGCTGACATGCATGTGTCACCGACCTCTGGCGCTGTTGCCGCGCGCGTTTCCCCGCACCCCGCCCCGCCGGAGACGACCCCTTCACGTGATTACGCAGCTGTTGCCGCTGCCCGACCCAGTACTCCACAACCACAACCCAGGCAACCAATGAAGGGAAAACTGAAAAAGAAACTCGTATCTGGAGCTGCGTCGTCAGTACCACCGAGACGAGTTGATCAGTGCGACGAGGACGGCTTTCGGAAGGTGGAAAAGAAAAAGAAGAACATCAGCCGAAACCTTAGTGGCACCGCCCTGACTGGCCCGAATCATTTATTGCGTCCAGCGGTACCGACGACGTTGTTATACGTGTCGCGTCTTCATTACTCCACCAAGTCTGCGGATATTGTGGAGTACATGCGAGTGAAGGCCAATGCAAACCTGAGGGTCGAGCGGTTGGAGTCGCGCCACAACGTGAATTTTAATTCATTTGTGGTGCGAGTACCAACTCAACACCTGTCGACCTTCATGAGAGAAGACTTTTGGCCGAAGGGTGTCATATACCGGCGTTTCCGAGGACGGCTACCGGACACTCACGTTGCGTCACACGTCGAAGTACATACGTGTAAATAAATAGTGATATTATCATGTTATATTGTATTTATGATTAGTCCGTAAGGTATTTATTTAATATTTCTGTTATTGTTTTATTATATTATTGTTATATTATATGTATGTTAGTCTGTAAGGTATGTATCTATGGGTCCTAGTTGCCTGAAATAAATAAATAAATAAATAAAAAAAAATAAAAAATTAAACTGTGAAAGTAGGTGAAGTAAACCAATCCAACGGTTTCGATGCCTGAAAGTCAAAGTCAAAGTCTAATAATCATTTATGTTATTGGTAAAAGTTTTACACTTCAAAACGTCATTGTTTAAGCAACTGCTCGTTCACTACGCTGACCTTCCTGTGAAGAACGAATAAGAAACTCTAGGGATTGCTCTTTTCAAATAAACTTAAGTGCTATGGAATACACTTTGAATCATATTTGTGTGGAATCTAGACTCGTGTTATCTTTCCATACATCTTTATCTAACAAATACTCTTCAATTTTGTTGTATGACTTTTCAATTAAAATACTTTTAATGTAAGTTTCAAACTTAGGTAATGATAATCTTAATATATACTCCGGAATCTTATTGTAAAAACGTATACAGTTCCCTTTACAAGAATCGTTTACCTTAGTTAAACGAAATCGTGGTATCATGAGTTTGGACTTAATTCTAAGGTTAATATTACGGATATTTTCTTTCTTATTGAAATTATGTATATTTTTACGGACATACAAAATATTTAAGTAAATGTACTGTGATGTCATGATACCAGTCTCCTTAAACTTTTCTTTGAGAGAAACCCGAGAACCTAAACGGCACACAGAACGAATCGCTCGTTTTTGCAACACAAATATGGTTTGTATATCTGCAGAAAGTTTTCATATTTTTTTAATCGCGTACACTGCGCAAGATATATATCTAATTATTTACTATTGGAAATGTAACACAATTTAATTCGATTGTGTGTTGTCTAAAAGAACGCTGTAGTTGTCACAATTTAAGAGACCCAATTTGACAACTAAAGAAGACAATAAAATAGCTTGGAGTGCAATCAACGAAACATTCAACAAAACAATTAATAACTTATTGGATTTAAAAAAGTTCTTTAATTTTATTGAAGCATTATAAACATGATAGAACAAATTTCACGTATTATTTTGGAATGAATTTTGAAATGAAATGTAATTTTGAGTTAGTCCGAAACGTCGTAATAGTAGTTTATGTGAGCCGACAGTAGAGCTTCATAAAAACATCACACGAGTGTTTTAATGCCTAGTTATGTACAGTTACACACACTGCTTTGTATATAGGTACACATATTATAAGCTCTCTATGATGAGTTCAGGAATCGCATGTTACAACATGGCGTAAAATAAAAACTTTTCTCACGCATGTCACGCTTAGCCTATGGAAACCAAAGGACATGTTATATTGACATGTATTAATCAGACGTTATATGTATATGATGCATTTAGATGGTGAAAACATAAACATTTTATTGTCTTTGTTTAACTACTGCGTGCCGTCGTAAGCCGAAAGAGATAGCACTACATTGATTTATGTCAAACACGGGAATCGAAAATACGTGACGTCATCTTAAATGCCAGCTGTCCTCATTTTACCATTTTTGGAGTACCCTTTGACATCCGTATCCGGTTGTTAAAGGGAAGTACATCATATGTCAAAACCCATGTTTGGCCAAATGTTTTAGTGAATGATTCGCATGAATTGTAACGAAATCGACAAAAATATTGACAGTGAGAACAATTAAGTATTGATAAAAATGCGTCGCTGCAGCATTAAGGGGTGCGGCA